CCCCAAAACCCCAAAACCCCAAAACCCCAAAACCCCAAAACCCCAAAACCCCAAATGAGCTCTCATAAATTGAATTATTGAACAACTCGGTCATATGCTTAATCATAAATGAATTTATTAATTTTGAAGAGGTTCACCACTAACCGAATTTAATGAAATTTAGCGTAAAATTTAGAGCAGATCAAGGATAGTTCGGAGCTCGCTTAAATTTTCTGGGCTCTAACAGCAGGTTGCTTAGACAAAGAAATTCGCTAGTTAGGAAATGAAACAGTCTGGTAGTAGTCCTAGCACCAAAAATTGACCAATTATAATTTGAGACTCTCAGAAAGCTGGAGTATTAGGCTCAAATTGATTAGATCATCAAAATATCAACAAGGATTATGACATTTCTGGTCCTAAAACTGTTGGTGCAGAGGACTCTAAATTTTTTGCTTGGAGAATTAGTAAATAGCTCCCGTCCCTGTTCTTTTGGTAACCTCATCCTCCATCCTTGAGGCTACCTCTACCTAATTGTGTAAGGAAATATTGAAAGGATTAATTAATCCTCTCAGGAAGAAGATTTGAGCAATCTTTTTAAATATAATAAAACTAATCCTAAGGTCTTCCTACATTCCTGTGGAACAGGTAGGGATTGGAGAAAATATTCTCATTGGCTGAATTTTTAACTTTCAACAGCCTCTTCTTGGATCGGCAATAGTGCTTTGGTAATATCTTTGGAGGACTGGTATTGACTTCCTAGACCTCTCTTATGCTTTCTATTTCCCCTCTGTTGCATCTTAATATCTCTGACCTCCATTAACTTCTTTTTGGCTTCTTTCTTACTCTTTGCTTTCTTTAAGAGTTTCATATAGTTGATAACATCAATATTTTGGCATCAGTCCTTGATAACTTCTTTATCAACTTTCCTCTCATTCTTCTTGAGTGGCTTTGTTGGTGGAGTGAGACTCATCTCGTTCCAGAATATTTTCGAAATTTCTACAAAAATTAGCCAACGATTATTCTTACCCCTCAATAATTTGCTGGAATCACTAAGGCTCCTGAGATAGCCATGCTTGTTCAAATAAGACAGTATGATCACTGCAACAGAGAAGAATCCAAATGTTTTATGTTGGTCGAAAAGATTTATAATTTCTGTTGCTAACTATACAAAACGGTTAGGCACAATTTGGCCGGCCAAGGTAGCCCAAGGGCTATAGAGTATCACTCACCTGCAAGCGGTTTCCTGAGCGGTAGATTATGATAGCAAGGAGGGATACGAATAAACGCTTTCTCATTTTTAAATATTATTATTTACAAAAGTTAGATATTTGGAAGAATAAATAGTATTTCAATTTTTTAATATTTATTGGGGTTTTGGGGTTTTGGGGTTTTGGGGTTTTGGGG